GTTAAGAGTGTAATTAATATACCTTTTAATATTAATATGTATTAAAAATGATAAAAATTGATATTAATTTTATCATTAATGTCATATGAACTATTTTAATTGGTTAATTAATTAAATAAATATTAATTTTTACTTTTTAATTCTAATTAATGTCAAAATAATGTTTTTAATATATACCTTAAAGATATAGAATAGAAAAACTCTTTATAAAAAAGTATAATTAGTTAAAAAGTATGTTTAATTCTTACCACCAACTAAAAATTTAAAGAGAATTTACTTCTTTACTTATATTATTTTTAACAAAGAAATAAGGGTAAAAAATTTTTTAGAATAAGGTTGATAAATATGATTAAAATATGCTACTTATTTGTACTATATCTTTAAAAAAATAAAATAAAAGGACCATTAATTGGTAGTATGTTACTGTGGGATGGAAGGTGAACTAAAGTACTAATTGAACAAATCATCCACAGATAAACCTGTGATCGATATTGAACCAACATGTCCATTAAGAAAGATTCAAATATTATTCAATTTAATAAGAGAGATTATTGCACGGAGAACTTTTTAACCACACCCTCCTGAGAAATTGACAATCCTGTCCCTTGGCAATCTTGTATTTCATTAATTCCCAAAGGGCATAGAAGACATTTTGATGGCATAATTAAAGAATTATGTTCCAAAAAGGTGGCTTGAGATTAACAAAGACAAGGTTTTTATAATTAACCTCCTTTGCTTGCTTAGCCTTCTCACTCCATATACAAAATTACATACACATTGACCCTTTGAGCAACTTCTAGAAAAGCTCTCATATGATGTAGGCATGAGAAGAACCTTAAATTATAAAAAGAAGGTTGAAACTTTGAATTAAATTTTCATCCTTTAGTACGTATACTCTTTTGATTCATTATTCAATAAAAAGTTATTAAAAAATCAACCATATATAGTCTCCATATATTGTGCATCCATCCTATAAATAAATCACTTTGAGATTATAAAAGAATTATTTTAACAAGATTTCAACGGAGATGTTGTATTCTCTTTTATCCTTGTTTCTTTAATGATCATGAATTAATTAATTGCCCATTATCAAAGTTCTTGATTTACCAAAGAAACAAGAAGTTATCGAAGTCCTTGTCTTTGGTTAGCCATAGAATTTGAGAAAGGGTTACTTATTATGGAAGGGATACATATATTTCCTTATTTGGTTTTTATGAATTCAAAAAAATCATTCTCATGAATATGAGAATATTTTAACTTGATAACGCTGATTTGTAATTGTAACTGTAAATTTTTTAGTCTTTTAACATTTTAAAAAGATATAGAATATATTATATATATTTAATATTATTTAATTAATATTTTATACATTTTTAAAATATTAAAACGACATAAAAGTTAAAAAATAATGTTGTCAAACAAAACCAATATTTATCCCACCCATCCTTCCTCTTAAAATTTGCTTTGCATATAATTAATCGGTACGTATGTGAACTTGACTGGTCGCATACTATGGGTTTGGTGGACTACCTAAACACAAATGTCTAATAATTTTTGTTATATGATTCAATCAACAAACAAATTAAATAACATTAAAAAAATCAGCATATAACGAACATTAATTGATTAATCTATGATCATATATCTATACACATCCATGGTTCCAACAATATTGGGGATTTATACAATATATTTACAAGGTTATATATTATGAATGCTGAGATCGATCTGGTGGTCCTTAATTACTATATATATTCAAGCTACCCCACGTAACAATATCATAGATTATATAAATATATTACCATCAGTTCTAATAATTAATTATTTCTTGTCTATTTGTGGAATATTGTTAAAAAAAATTTTGAACAGGTCAATGAAATTAATTGTGTGGCCCTTAATGAAACATTGCATATTTTGCCCGTTCATGAAAATGATACCTTTCTTTTCTCTACATTTTATTTTATTTTATTTTGGTCAGGATGTTCTTATTTAAATTTCATATATTTTAAAATTAATTTTTATTTTAATTTAGTGTATTTTAAAAAATTAAACTTAAAATTTTAAATTTAATATATAAAACAATACTTATTTACCAATAAATAAAACTATTGTTGTTTCTCCACATTTTATGATATTATGGAACCCTAACCAATATCAATTACGACACTGAAATAGGCTTTTTCCTTCTTTTTTTTTTTTTTTCTTCTGATAGCAGGAAATTTCAAAAAAAAAAATTTAAGTATAAAACTCAAATTTTAAGTATTCGAACACTTTCCTTTCCTCGTTTGAGTGGTTAGTAAACCACTACAGACAGACTTCTTCCTTTTTTTAAAAGAAAAAAGAAATTCCACTTTCTTCCTCAGAGACGGCCACCGGCGGCTGCTCTGAAGAGCCAAGTACGCTGAAAAGTCAATAAATCAAAAAAAAATTTCATTTGAACTTTCAAGAACTTTCTAAAGTGCATATATATATACAGTATTCAACAATGATTCATAATTTCATATTACTACTCATTAAAAAAACATTCATATAACTATACTCAAGTGGAGGATTTAACTGGGAATAATCTCGACGAATTATTAATTTATCAGTGCATGGCCATTTTATATTGGTAGTACCTCAAGAACTTTCTGAAGTACATATATATATATATGTATATATATATATTCGATTAATTGGACGCTTCCGCTAAGCTTCAAGTATTAATTAGGCGTTGCATGAAACAACACGCAGGAATTAAGGACGCTTAACCTGCAATTTTGCAACAAGTAATTCTGTAGAGGAATCAGTGCGAGTGGTTTGTGCAAGCAGCCTCACGTACTCAATTATGTGGCTTAAAACAATAATTATAGAATTCTCTCAACGTACGCACATATGTTAGAACATGAATAAAAGTCAACTAATCCCTCTTCAAAATTGAAAATACATAATTACAATACTCTTGTCTTGCCAACGGAGACACACTCTAATTCTATGTGCAAAATATAAATATAATATCATCCCACATCTTTACACCTAAATTAGATGATTAATTAACTGACTACAGGTTAATTAGGTTATATTTTTTTTTTTTGGTACTAATCTCTCGATATTCAGTAATCACATTGGGTCTCGACTAATTCGGAATCGACCTGCGTTAGACCCTATTTGGGGGAAGCTCGCTCAACGTTTATTTTTTCATTCACAAGACTTGAACTCGAGATTTTATTTAAAAGAAACTGAACTCCTTCCACTCAAATTAACAAATCGTTAGTAATTAGACCATATTAATTATCCATGTAAGTCACCTTATTAAGTGGCTTTTGTCTCCGTATGCAATGACTTAAATGAAACGTACAAAGATCTTGTTTGTATTATCCCTTTAAGCAGCCTCAACAAACATCATTGCTTATGTTCATATAATAATTAATTAATTAATTAATTCAAATAATAGTAAATTTATGTGGCAAGAGTTTAACATAATGACACGGGGTCGTTAATCACCAAATAATGAATGAGTCTGAGAAAGTAATTTAGGGCACCTAATCTTAATTAATTAGCACATCTATGCAATAATTTCAAACTCCATGGATTTGAAAATCTTGAACTAACTAACTAAGATCTCAACTAGTAATTAGATTAGGCAATATATAGATAATCACATGTATTACGTTAAATAAGAGAACCTAAACTTTAGGGATTTTGTCTCCATGTTTTGGTGCTATAAAGTATAAACATTTCATAGTTGTAATTTAAAGTAGTTGATTCATATATCTTTCCAATTTCATAATAGTCGTATTAGGTAAATAATAGTCCAATGTCTGTGGTTTGCTTGCTCCTGAACGGGTCAGCCAAAAACCTCTATGACTTGCTGATGTCAAACAGGAGGGCGCCATTTAATTAAAATAGTTGACTTAATAATGTCTTATTTTGCTAATTACTTTTGGTAACACCTTTCCACTCGTGGGAAAAGAGATAAGGATCTTCTGAATTTTCCGTGATCTAAAATATATATAAAAATAAGCTTGTCTTGTTCCATGGGGAAATTGGAAAGTATTGATCAAAGTATAT